GCAGGATTACCACACTGAGAGGGCTCCAGGGGAGGAGGTGCTTCCACCCCTGCACCTGAAAACCTTGATACCCAGCAAGTCCTGCTGTCTGAGCTCACCCACTTGTGCCGCCGCTGTGGTAGAAAGCAGGGGCGATGGTTCCTTCCTAATGGGGGGCTGGGGTTCTGAGAGAGGAGTAAACTTAGATTTGTAATGGGCAAGGATAGGGCACAGTCTGAACGCCTCGATAACAGGCATTCTGAGGCGAAGAAGAATGTTCTAATGATTCGAGCTGCCTGCAGACAAGAGGCTTGCTTCATGTTGCTGCAGTTCCTTCAAGCAGAAGGTGGGTCAGATGCGGTGGCTCACGCCTGTAATCCCAGGTGAGGTGAGCAGATCACTTGAGGCCAGGAGCTTGAGAGCCTAGCCAACATGGTGATACCCTGTCTCCACCAAAAAAAAAAAAAAAAAAAAAAAGGCCGGGTGTGATAGCTCATGCCTGTAATCCCAACACTTTGGGAGGCCAAGGCAGGCGGGTCATGAGGTCAGGAGATCGAGACCATCCTGGCCAACATGATGAAACCCTGTCTCTACTAAAAATACAAAAATTAGCTGGGTGTGGTGGCATGTGCCTGAAATCCCAGCTACTTGGGAGACTGAGGCAGGAGACTTGCTTGAACCGGGGAGTCGGAAGTTGCAGTGAGCCGAGATCATGCCACTGTACTCCAGCATGGCAACAGAGTGAGACTCTGTCTCAAAAAAAGCCAAGCAGAAGGTGAATGCCTACTGCATTTTAGGAAAATTCAGGCTTCCAGTGGGAACCCTAAAGTTCCTTTTTAGCCCCTACAGACTGTGAGCCCCTCTGAGAGCTGCCGGCAGAACCCAGAAGACCTGATTTCTAGTCTTTGGGTATCATCCTCACTCTCTGTCAATCTCGTGATCTTCCTCCCCTTCTCTCTCCCTCCCTCACTCTCCAGTCTTCTCCAGCCTCCACCCTTTGACATAGCTAGGAAAGTAAACCTGATCCCTTCCCCCTTTTGCTGCTACCTAGGCAGGTGCCAGCCCCAAAGCTCATCCCTAGTGGAGGCCCTTGATGATGTGGAAGTGGCCAGGGCCCTCATGGAGACTGGCAGAAGCCCAAGAGTAGGCTCTAATGCTGCCAAGCCCAGCAGCCTTGCGCCCCGGAGGCTCCTGCCAGTCTGACAGCGTTCTTGGCATTGCTCAGAGGTGAGCGTGGCTGAGTTGAGCTACTCCCCTGACTAGCGTTAATGCTGGGGTTTCCTCTCCTGTGCCCAGGTCTCTATGTAGACAGCTAGGATCCTGTCCTCATGCCGGGACCAGCTCGGTAACCATGAACAGGTCCCTGTGCTCTGGCTGTCTAGTTGGTAATGTGAGGAGTTGGCTGGCCTTGGGTGAATTTCTTTTCAGCTCTGGGCCACCTTCTTCTCCTGGGGCCATTGGACAGGGTATGAGCCCCATGGCAGTGTGGAGTGGTTTAGCTTCCACTTGCGTCAGCCTCCTGTTGTCATGAGAGGGTCTTAGATGGAAGCCATGGCAGAAGTGATGAGAAGGCTGGATTAACAGCAGGGGCTTGGGAGTCAGTCTTGGGTCTCATCTTGACTCCATCACACTCTAGCTAGGTTATCTTGGTCAAGTGATTTAATTCTTTTATGCCTCAATCTCTTCATTTGTAAATGGGAATAATAATAACAGTATTAACTTGCTGGACTGTTGTAAGGCTTTAATGAAAATAACCAATATTTGCCCCTGTATATCAGGGGTCGGGCATCATTCTAAGCGCTCTATGTGTATTTTCTTTTTTGGTTTTTTTTTTGAGACACAGTCTTACTCTGTTGCCCAGGCTGGAGTGCAGTAGCGTGATCTTGGCTCACTGCAACCTCTGCCTCCCAGGTTGAAGCGATTCTTCTGCCTTAGCCTCTGGAGTAGCTGAGATTCTAGGCGTCTGCTGCCACACCCAGCTAATTTTTATATTTTTAGTAGAGACAAGGTTTCACCATGTTGGCCAGGCTGGCCTCGAACTCCTCATCTCAGGTGATCCACCTGCCTCAGCCTCTCAAAGTGCTGGGATTACAGGTATGAGCCACTGTGCCCAGCCTTCTATATGTATTTTCTCATTTAATTTTTAGAGCAACCCCATGGAGGGTACTATTAGTGTGAGACCCATTTTCCAGGTGAGGAAACTGAGGCATAGGGAGGTGAAGTGGTCACAGTAGTTTCTGGTGTGGATGGGCTGGTGGCTGAGGTGCCTGTAGGACTGACCTGGAAACCGCTGTGTACAGGCAGGCCTCCTAGCACAGGCCTCTGAATCCAAAAGCCTGAAAGGGAGGGGCAAGGGAAGCAAGAGTGAGGCTCTGAGTCAGCACCCACTGAGCTGCACCAGAACCCTGAAGTCCCGGCGGCCCATCCAAGGCTGACCCTTCTCTCTGAGTCACCTTTCACCCAGTGGCTGTCACAGCCCCTTTGTCTGGAAAGGGACCTGTTTCCCCTGCTTAGCTCAGAGAAGGGAGCAGGGGCAGCTGTCTGGCCGAGCAAAGGTCAGGCCCTGCAGAGCCATGTTCCCAGGATCATAGTCTGTTGCTAGAGGGGGCAGTGGGTTTAGAGGTCATGTGGCCCCACCTTATTTCACAGAGGTGCGCCCTGAGGAGGTGCAGGGACACATCATGGTGACATCATGGTTTGACGTCCCAGCTGGCGTTTCTGCCCACAGGGCCTTTCTGGCCAGTGCCTCTTTTTTTTCTTTTTTCTTTCTTTTCTTTTTTTTTTTGAGACGGAGTTTCGCTCTTGTTACCCAGGCTGGAGTGCAATGGCGCAATCTCGGCTCACCGCAACCTCCGCCTCCTGGGTTCAGGCAATTCTCCTGCCTCAGCCTCCTGAGTAGCTGGGATTACAGGCACGCACCACCATGCCCAGCTACTTTTTTGTATTTTTAGTAGAGACGGGGTTTCACCATGTTGACCAGGATGGTCTCGATCTCTTGACCTTGTGATCCACCCGCCTCGGCCTCCCAAAGTGCTGGGATTACAGGCTTGAGCCACCGCGCCCGGCCAGTGCCTCTTTTTTTTCTTTTTGAGACAGTGCCTCACTCTGTTGTCCATGCTGGAGTGCAGTGGTGCGATCTGAGCTCACTGTAGCCTCCACCTCCTGGGTTCAAGTGATTCTCCTGCCTCAGCCTGCCAAGTAGCTGGGATTACAGGTGCCTGGCACGTGCCCAACTGATTTTTATATTTTTCAGTAGAGATGGGGTTTCATTGTATTGGCCAGGCCGGTCTTGAACTCCTGACCTCAAGTTATCTGCCCGCCTCGGCCTCCCAAAGTGCTGGGATTATAGGCGTGCACCACGGTGCCTGGCCAGCTTTGTATTTCTGACCTGACATTCCTGCCCTGGTTCTACCCCAGCTCCTCTGGGGAGATGGAGAATAGCTTTCCTCAAAATTACCCACTGAGAGACCTGGACTGCTATTCAGCTCCCCCTCCCCAACCCTCCCTGCCACCTTCTCCTCTCTGAATTATCCCAGTTGTCATAAGAGAGAAGAGACAAAACAGTCCTTTATCTGATCCCTGAACTGTGTAGCGTGCCCTAAAAAGAGATGCTGGTCTCTCTCGCTTCCAGCAGAGCCTCTGAGAGCCTCTGGTGTCTTCGGACTTGTGTCTGGGGGTGTCCTCCTTGGGGGTCCTAAAGCCCCCTGGGAGATGCTCTAGGAGTGGTGGCTCTGTGAAGCCCAGACTGCCAGGGCTTGTCCTTACTGGGGATGCAGGGGCCCTCTAGGGGTGCCCTCAGCTCTTCCCAAGCCTGTATCTTTGCCACCAGAGGGGACCAGCAGGCCCAGAGGACGGTAACTGGCAGAGGAGGCATAAGAGCACCACATAACATGAAGGACAGGGGCCCAGCATCGGGAAGGCCTCTGTCGTTATGCCACTGACCTGGGAGTCCTGGGGTCCTAGGGAATCACTTCCCGTTCAGGGCCTGCATTTTCTCATCTGAAATGAGCATTTGGGGCTTACGGCCTCGAGGTCCCTTCTAGCTCCAGTTTGGGGTTCCCTCCTCCTGCCCTCCTCTGACTGTGGGGCTCTTCCTGCTGCAGGGGAGGCATTCCCTTGACCTTGGGGCCTGACTCCTCAACTCTTTCTGCTCCCTGTTAGCACTGCACAGAAGACAGGTAGAACTCGCACAGACCTTGGGATTCAGAACATCTGTCTCCCCTCCAAGGGGGCCGAGGAGCCCTGAACTCACTAACTACTCCCTAGCAAGGCCAGTGAAGAGAGCAGGCTGCAGGCTGCCGCATGCCTTTGTGACACGCCACAGCTGTTATTGGAAGGAACCAGAAAGTCCTGTCTCAGGCCTGCCTTTTGGCACAGCCTCCCGGCCCTGTACCACCCGCCCCTGCTTCTCAGGCTTCCTGACTCAGCCGGCCACTGGCTCCCTGGTCCCTGGGTCCCTTCCCCCTCGGGGCCTGGCACTGGGGCTAGCTTGTTTTCCTCTGCTTCCTCCCCCTGGCTCTCCACTTTGAGCCTTGGCTCCATCCCAGCTCTGGCTTCCAGGCCTGGCACCCCTGTCAGCTGCTGCAGGGGCAGGGCTGACCCTTTCAGAGGGTCCCGCTGACCCTGTGAGTCACCAGGAGACTGTGCCCGGGCCATCTGGCTTCTTTGCTGGTTCTGCTGTCAAGCCACCAACACTAGAAGGTTTTCTTAAATGAGAACAGGGAGTTCCAGGCTCCCTGGGTCCCTGCCTCCTGAGCGAGTCCTTCCTCTTGCTTTCCTATGTCTGGGGAGCTGCACAGCGAGAGGCCTGTGGACAGAAAGTGGGCACAAAGGCAGGAGGGGCAGGAGCCCAGCTGTGGGGGAGGCGGCCTGTGGACAGCAAACGACACGCATCCTCTAAGGAAGAAATAGGAGGTGCTCCTCTCCATGGAGGCTGCCTGGGCTAGGCTGGAAGTGGGGCCACGGGGCTGAGTGAGTTGGGCCTGGGCACTCATGACTGCTTCTCTCCTCTCTCATTTCAGGTCCCAGCAGCCAGGGTTCCCCCTCAGCCCGTGAACGGCCATGTCCAACCCCAGCGCACCACCACCATATGAGGACCGCAACCCTCTGTACCCAGGCCCTCCGCCCCCTGGGGGCTATGGGCAGCCCTCTGTCCTGCCGGGAGGGTATCCTGCCTACCCTGGCTACCCACAGCCTGGCTACGGTCACCCTGCTGGCTACCCACAGCCCATGCCCCCCATCCACCCGATGCCCATGAACTATGGTGAGTCCTGGAAGGGCAGATGGAGGGTGGGTCGGAGGGACAGCGCTTGGAGCAGATGCGACCACCACCGCCTGCCCCTTTTCTCTTCTAGTTCCCCTTAAATCCCTTTCTCATCTTCTCTGTTGAGATCTCTCCCTCTGCTGCTCGTCTTTCTTACCCTCCACTTTTTCCCTCAGCAATTGGCCCCCTAACAAGCCACCTGCTGGCCCCTTTGTTCAAGGTGACCCAGCTCATGAGACATGTCCCAGAATGGACACACCACAGGAGACAGGGGCTGGCCAAGCAATGACTCCTGGGGGGTTACCTCGGGACCAGCTTGTTTCCGAACAAGCCGCTGCCACCTCCTAGGACGACCTCCCTAGGAACTCCTTCGGAAACCCGAAGCACTTTCTTTATCCTTTCAAGTGAAATCTGATTTTTGCAAAAGACACTAACCATCATGGCAGGGACATGCTGCTTGGTCAGAAATGAGATGAGGCCTGGCACAGTGGCTCATGCCTGTAATCCCAGCACTTTGGGAGGCTGAGGCAGGCGGATCACCTAAGGTCAGGAGTAATCTAAGGTCAGCAAAACCCCATCACTACTAAAAATACAAAAATCAGCCAGGTGTGATGGCAGGCGCCTGTAATACCAGCTACTCAGGAGGCTGAGGCAGGAGAATTGCATGAACCCAGGAGGCAGAGGTTGCAGTGGGCCAGGATCGCACCACTGCACTCCAGCCTGGGCGACAGAGTGAGACTCTGTCTCAAAACAAACAAACAAACAAACAAACAAGAAATGAGGTGAACTTAGAGTGCAGGGAGTCTTCCTGGGTACCTCACGTGTGGATTTTAAAAGTAGTTCCCTGGCTGGGTGCAGTAGCTCACGCCTATAATCCCAGCACTTTGGGAGGCTGAGGCGGGTGGATCATGAGGTCAGGAGATTGAGACCTTCCTGGCCAACATGGTGAAATTCCGTCTCTACTCAGCCTGCCACTGGCTCCTGAAAATACACAAAAAAAGTTAGCGTGGTGGCGCCTGCCTGTAATCCCAGCTACTTGGGAAGCTGAGGTAGAAGAATTGCCTGAACCAGGGAGTCAGAGGTTGCAGTCAGATGAGATTGTGCCACAGCACTCCAGCCTGGTGACAGAGCAAAACTCTGTCTCAAAAAAAGAAAAAAAGGTAATTCCCAGAGAGGCATTCAGGGAATGTTTGCAGCCCTGCAGCGTCTCTGCACCCCAGATGGTGTCGGCCAACTCTCACCTGGACGTGTGTGTGCTGGTACAGATCTGTGCGTGGTCCTGCACAGTCACGTACACCCTCTACACACCTGCTGCTGTGAGGCTGATGCTCATCCCAGGGTCTGCATCTGAACAGGTGCCAAAGGCCATGCCAGCCTCCTTCCTTGGAGACAAGGCTCAATCCTCCAGGCACAGTGTGGTCCTCGCTGCTGCACACACTGTGCTCTGCCACCCTCCTTTTCTCCCACCCTCTGTCCCCGTCCTGTTCTGCCCCGGCTGGCTGCCCACACCTGCTCCTGCCTGGCTTCCTCACTACATCGTGACCCCCACTGAACCCCCAGTGGCGTGGGCTGGGCACAGAGGAACCCTCCACAGATGTGTGTGGGGAATGTACAGGCCAGCTCTGGGTCACTCTGAGGGTGTCTAGAGGACCCCGGCTTGGAAGAAGAGTTCCTGTTAGAACACTTGTCTTTTGGCTGGAGATACCTGAGACCTTGAGAATGTCAGGGAGGCTTTAGGATTGAGGCTGCATGTCTTGGGTCCCCAGCTGGTCAAGTGCGATCTGTCCCTAGGCCCAGGCCATGGCTATGACGGGGAGGAGAGAGCCGTGAGTGACAGTTTCGGGGCTGGAGAGTGGGATGACCGAAAGGTGCGGCACACTTTTATCCAAAAGGTAAGATATGCACTGGGAGGCGGGTGTATCTGGGGCGCTCAGGCTGTGCGAATGGGGAGCGGGTAGGACACAGTAGCCCCAGGGCACCAATTCCATGAAATACACTCGCTGCCTGCCTTCTCTAGCCCTGACTGCTTCTTAGAGGAGCACCCAGCTTCTCTGACTTTTTCTTTTTGAGGTGGAGTTTCGCTCTGTAGCCCAGGCTGGAGTGCAGTAGTGTGATCCTGGCTCACTGCAACCTCCGCCTCCTGGGTTCAAGTGGTTCTCCTGCCTCAGCCTCCTGAGTAGCTGGGATCACAGGCACCCACCACCATGCCCAGCTAACTTTTGTATTTTAGTAGAGACAGGGTTTTACCTTGTTGGTCAGGCTGGTCTCGAACTCCTGAGCTCATGATTTGCCCTCCTCAGCCTGCCAAAGTGCTGGGATTACAGGCGTAAGCCACCATGTCCGGCTGACAAGGGCACCCAGCTTCTCTAACTCCAGAGATCCCCCTCTTTTTGCACATCTCTTCTTGACTATGTTTCGGGAAGACACATGCAGTCTGGGAGAATCTCCTAGGTGGGCTCTGCCAGTGCTTGCCTTCCCTAGACATCTTTCTCCCCTTAGACTACAGGCAGCTTGGAGCCAGAAATGACCCTACTTGCTTGTAACCCACGCTCCCCATCTCACAGCTGCACAGAGTGTGCAGAATGAGCCGCTGGGAGTACAAAGGCTTTACAGGTGGAGCATGGCAGCCAGGCAGGGCAAGTCAGTAGTCACAGACTGGTGCTAGACAGCAGGGGAGATGGCAGGGAGCATGGGAGGGGGGCTGAGGAAGAAGTACACATAGCATCTGAGCCATGTGCCTCACTGGTGTCGCTTCTGGGCCAGGCTGCAGCTGGGGAGGGCTCTAGAGTGGGAGGAAAGTAAGAACAGATCTTTCTTGGGGGCTGGCAGCTTCCTGGGGAGGCCAGGGTGCAGGATGGTGACCCAGGCCTGGCTGTCTCTGTCCCAGGTTTACTCCATCATCTCTGTGCAGCTGCTTATCACCGTGGCCATCATCGCTATCTTCACCTTTGTGTAAGTCTCTAGGCCTTGTCACTTACTCCTACCAGCCTTGGGAGTTCGGGGTCACCTGCTGGGAGTGTGGGTGGCGGTGGGCCCTTCTCTCGGGGTGACCGTGGGGGATTAGAGAAGATGGAGCCAGGGCTGCCTGGTGGGCCTGGGTAGGGGGCAGACAAGCCTCAGGGTGACTTCTCCCGTCCCCCCCACCCCACAGGGAACCTGTCAGCGCCTTTGTGAGGAGAAACGTGGCTGTCTACTACGTGTCTTAGTGAGTGTGTGCTCCTCTGTGGTTGGGCGGGGAGGCATGTTTTTAGGTGACCAAATTTTTTATTTTTGTTTTTATCCCTTGGTTTGTCAGCATTTTCACAATAGGTGACCAGCTTTGCTCAGGGCAGGATCAAAATACTTTCTGAGAGGGTGCCAGTTTCCCAAGCCAGAGGGTGTGGGTGTATGTGCCCAGATGAGTAACAGACCCCCAGAGCTCAAGAGAGCAAGGGTGGGGCCTGCTGGTGCTGACATGCACACTGCGCTGCGGCCCCCGTGTCCTCTCAGCCCATCAGCTGCAGCCTCCCCAGACCTCCTTCCTGGCCAAAGCCTGGTGCTTCAGAGCATCTCAGTGACCCTGGCTGGAGTCATCTTGTTCTAGCTTCCTGCTGAGTTGCTTCCCCTCAGACTTCCAAACAGCTGTTTGGACCCCGACTCACTGGGCTGGTGTGTGCTGCCAGACGGGGCAGGTTTGGGCCTGAAGTGCTTCCCCGTCTTTCTCCCCAGTGCTGTCTTCATCATCACCTACCTGACCCTTGCCTGCTGCCAGGGACCCAGGTGAGTCCCAGACACTTAGACAGTGAGAGGGGTGGCGGGGATTGGGATGGGGAGGCAAGTATTTTGGAAAGAAAAGGGATTCCTTTATAGCAGCTGAATGGAAACTAACAAGAAAGGAGGAGGAGGGGGAGGAGGAGGATGGCAGCTACCGTTCAAGTATATACAAAGGACCATGTGTGTGCAGGAGCTAACTAGCTGTCACTCTTACAGCAACCCTGCAAGACAGGTAGCATTTTAACCAGTTAACAAATAGGAAGAACCTGAGGCTCAAAGAGGCTGAGTAACTTTCTCCCTGTCACATAGGCAGGCAGTGTAAGAGCTGCAAACAAATCTGGGTGTTTCTGGCACCACAGCGCAGGTCGGTCCCACTGGCCCATGTTGTCCCTGCATAGAACATCTGAACAGGTGCCAAAGGCCATGCCAGCCTCCTTTCTTGGAGACAAGGCTCAATCCTCCAGGCACAGGAGCCAAGCGCTTCCTTCTGCTACAGGAGCCTGTAACAGAAGGAAGTAACCTGAGTGGCCCCAAGTCACTTAATCAGAGCTTCTCTTTCCCTTCAGACGCCGTTTCCCATGGAACATCATCCTCCTGACCCTGTTTGTAAGTCTGGAAGGGTGGCAGGAGGGTGTGGAGATGTTGGGAGGGAGGCTGGTCCCAGGGAAGGGATGGGGACCCCACTGCAGAAGGATGTCCTGGCCGTCTCCCCCACCTTATCTGGGTACCTGTTCTGGTCTCTGTGGCTGCCTCTTTCCAACTTGGTGGTGTTCCCCAGCTCTGGCAGAGGCCACCATAGTCCCTTCCCCAGCGCTCTGCCTTCCTTCCTTTTTAAGTGTTTCATTCTTGTTTCCTTCCTTCCCTCAGACTTTTGCCATGGGCTTCATGACGGGCACCATTTCCAGGTACACTCAGGGATAAAGCACCACTCTTGAGAAGTGTGCATTGTGGGGGAGTGGGCTGTTCCTGAGCTGGCAGCCAGCTGCATGGGTGGATTCTGGGGAGGTCCCCTCTGGAAGTGGTGACCTGGAAGTCTTTCATATGTGGCTGAATGCCTCATGAGTCTCTTAACTGCCGCTTCTCCCCAGTATGTACCAAACCAGAGCCGTCATCATTGCAATGATCATCACTGCTGTGGTGTCCATTGCGGTCACCATCTTCTGCTTTCAGACCAAGGTGAGGGCATGGAGGGCCCTTCCCTGCACCCCCCACGACTCCCCTTTCTCATCAGGCCTGTCACTTTGTGCTTGGCCCTTAAGCAGGCCTGGACCCCTCAATACCAGAGATTTTCCCTAGAGACCTGATCCCCTTCCCCTCATCTGCACCTACAAAACCGTGTCCTGTTTCTGTCCTTAGAACGTTGTGGGCACTCCCATGCCCCCTAGGAGGCATCCCTGGGACTCCCTGGCAGGGCCAGTCTGGCTGGGCTGGTTGTGGCAGCCATCTGACAGGTGCCTCCTTCTCCCTTCCTGGCAGGTGGATTTCACTTCGTGCACAGGCCTCTTCTGTGTGCTGGGAATTGTGCTCATGGTGACTGGGATTGTCACTAGCATTGTGCTGTACTTCAAATACGTGAGTGTTCCAGGGGAGCTGGGGTCAGTGAACCTAGTGCTCAGAGCAACCTTTCTATATATTTGGTGTCGCATGCCCCAAAGACCCCCAGGGCAGGCTCTGACCTCCAGAACCTCCCAACAGGCTAGCAAAGGCACCAACGTGGAGGAGGCAGCATCCTTGTGGGTAAGGGTAGACTCTCTGGGGAGATGGGCAGCCTTGGGGCCAGAGCACCTGAAGCCCTGGACTGCATCATTGCACTCCTAGGGGAAGGGGTGGATTAACTCTGCCTGGCAGCTGAGAATCAGGTTCCAGGAGGCAGACTGGGAGAGGAACCCAGAGGACTGAGATAATGGGCCTGGGTGGAGGGACCTGAGGGATCTCTGGATCTAATTATTTCCTTTAATCCACTCAACTGGGGGAGAACAGTGCTGAGGGAAAGGATGGGGACATGAGGGCCACCTGCCCATGGGCCAGCTCTGCCCTTCTGTGGATGGCCACCTGTGGGTGCTCTTGGATTCTGATACTCACCGGAGGGGTTGGGGGGCCTCCCTTCTTCGTTAGTCTACCCCTCTCAGGCTGGGCTGCAGGAACCGCTCTATTGAATGCTATGACGGGGGATCCTGGGTCTGCTCCCTTCACTCAACTGCGTTTTTTCTAGAAGTCTAGTAGACACTTGCATACCTTGACTGGCTTTGGAGATTGGTTTTATAGAACCATTGCAGGATGGCCTCTGCCTTCTCTGCTGGATATATTGCCAGTTTTAATTTCCTTCAGGATGTGGAAAGGCAGTAGCTTTTCATGGAGAGCTAGCTTCCCAGCTCTACCCACTCTCACGCCACCATCCCAAGGGGAAGCTGCGGCCTGCGGGCCTGCGCGTTGCTGAGGTTTCTAATGCCATTCCCTGTCCCCTTCTTCCCAGATTTACTGGCTCCACATGCTCTATGCTGCTCTGGGGGCCATTTGCTTCACCCTGGTAAGTCCCAGCTGAAGGGACTAGGAACGGGGTAGCTGAAGGGATGAGGGGAGGAACTCAGGGAACAGGGCATGAATTTGGACTACCCGGGAGGCAGGGCATGGGGCCATAGCTGGCCATTGCTCTCGCTACCGTCCAGAAGTTCCCCTGATGTTTGCGGGTACTCTCACCATCTCTTGTTCACGCTGCCTGCTATTAGAACACTAGTAGGCCACATCATGGATCACAACGTTTGGCTCCTTTCCTAGACTGTGAAGGCCTACGGCATAGAGCCTGTGTTAGGCTATGCATGAATGTGTCCCTAAGCACTGTGTGGCGCATAGGCCCCCAGGACAAATCTGCAGACCAGAAATGAGCTCTGGACACTGATGCCCGAGTTCTCACTTCCGGCTCTCCTGCCCTTGCAGTTCCTGGCTTACGACACACAACTGGTCCTGGGGAACCGGAAGCACACCATCAGCCCGGAGGACTACATCACTGGTGCCCTGCAGATTTACACGGACATCATCTACATCTTCACCTTTGTGCTGCAGCTGATGGGGGATCGCAATTAAGGAGCAACCCTGTTTTACCCGACCCTGGGCTCTCCCTTCCAAGCTAGAGGGCTGGGCCCTGTGACTGGTCTGGGCTCCAGGCCACTTTCCTTCCCCTTGAGTAACATGCCCAGTTTCCTTTCTGTCCTGGAGACAGGTGGCCTGTCTGGCCATGGATGTGTGGGTACCTGATGGGGATGGAGGAGCTAGGGACTAACTGTTGCTCTTGGTGGCCTTGGCAGGGACTAGGCTGAAGATGTGTCTTCTCCCTGCCACCTACTACATGACACCACATTCTTAATAGCTGGGGTTGGGAGGAAGATGAAAAGAGCCCATTCGATCGCTAGAAGGGAATACGTATGAAAGGCAGAAGTGACTTCAAGGTCACGAGGTTCCCCTCTCACCTCTGTCACAGGCTTCTTGGCTAGGCAGTTGGAGCTGTTTCTTCCCTCAACAAAGCCAGAGAGCTTTGTCCCCAGCCTCCTGGACACATGGGCCATTATCCTGTATTCCTTTGGCTTGGCATCTTTTAGCTCAGGAAGGTAGAAGAGATCTGTGCCCATGGGTCTCCTTGCTTCAATCCCTTCTTGTTTCAATGACATGTATGTATTGTTTATATGGGATAGGGTTGGGGATGGAGAATGGAATGAGCAAAGTTACCTATACAGGTCAGCATGGAACAGCATCTCCCCTGGGCTTGCTCTTGGCTTGTGACAGTTTAAGACTAGAGCACATGTGGCCATCTGCTCCCTATTCTTCAAAGCTGCTGAGGCCTCCTTGTGGGCTTCTGAGGTCTCTGGTCAGAGTGAGCTCTTGCTTCCTATATTCAGGCAGCTCAGAGCAGAAAGTAAGGGGCAGAGTCTTAAGTGTGGCCAGGAAGTAACTAGGGTGACGAGAGACTCGGTGGGGGTAGGGAAAATGCCTGGGGGTCCCTCACCTGGCTTGGGAGATACTGAAGCCTACTGTGGTACTGAAGACTTCTGTGCTCTTTCCTTTTGCTAATCCAGGGAGGGTCCTAAGGAAAGTGACTTCTGTTTGTCTTAACTTGCACTGGGGGATTTCTGACTTGAGCCCATCTCTCCAGCCAGCCACTGCCTTCTTTGTAATATTAAGTGCCTTAAGCTGGAATGGGGAAGGGGGGACAAGGGTCAGTCTGTTGGTTGGGGGCAGAAATCAAATCAGCCCAAGGATATAGTTAGGATTTCTCTATTAAGTAATTAATCCTAAATATATCACACAAAGGGACACAACTATAAATGTAATAAAGTTTATGTTGAGAAATTAAAACCCTGCATGGCTCCAGGAATATGTCTGGCTTTGCCCAAAGGATCCACTTCTTCCTTCTGGGTTCTGGCTTGGTCTCTCCTACCTTTTCCAAGGTGATCAAATACACTTGACTGCAGCTTTCCCGGGGAGGATGCAATAGACTGGTGAAGGCTCAGGAGTTGGGTGGGGAAAGGGAGAGCTCAACCCTGTCATACTGGATCACTGGATCTGGAATCGACCCCTTGGTTTTAGTGCTTGACCTTTTCTGCGCCATAGACCCTTTCCAAAAGCTCACGAGAGGTAACTCTCTTCCCCAAAAGCTATATGTACACCTACAGTTTTGCAGATGGAGGAGGGGACGGACTCCAGGTTCAGTCCATGTCAACCTGTCTTAGAAATCACCAGTCCCATCTCTTACAAATGAAGAAACTGGGCCGGGTGCAGTAGTTCATGCCTGTAGCTCCAGCACTTTGGGAGGCTGAGGTGGGCGGATCACCTGAAGTCAGGAGTTTGAGACCAGCTGGACCAACATGGTGAAACCCCGTCTCTACTAAAAATACAAAAAATTAGCCGGGTGTGGTGGCAGGTACCTGTAATCCCAGCTATTCGGGAGGATGAGGCAGGAAAATCGCTTGAACCCAGGAGGTGGAGGTTGCAGTGAGCTGAGATCACACCATTGCACTCCAGCCTGGGCAACAAGAGTGAAACTGTGTCTCAAAAATAAAAAAAATTAAAAACCCACAAAAATTAGCTGGGCATAGTGGCACTCACCTGTGGTCCCAGCTACTTGGGAGGCTGAGGTGGGAGGATCACTTGAGCCCAAGAGGTGGAGGTTACAGTGAGCTGATGATTGCGCTACTGCACTCCAGCCTGGGTGACAAAGTGAGACTCTGTCTCAAAAAAAAAAAAAAAAAAAAAAAAAAAAAAAGAAAAAAACCATTTGGCTGTGAACCGAATCTCTGGTCAGGAAAAAAAAAAAAAAAAAACCAACAACAAACGAGGAAACAGGCCCAGAGTTGAGTCATTTGGACTCAGTAAAGAGCAGTGCTTTTTTGCCTCCACACCCTAAATACCTTCTTTGATTCTCTTTATTATTTGTTTCAAGGCTGAGCGGGACCCCACCCTCCTGGCCCGCAGCTCTGAGGGCTTGGTCTGGAGGGCCCCGGCCTAGGCTTGTTGCACTTAAGTCTAGGGGTTTGCCCCACCATCCAGCTGGGAACACAGCTCTGTGAGAGGGAACACACAAGAGTAACCAGACAAAAAAAAAAAAAAAAAAAAAAAAAGAGTAACCAGCCCCACCCTCTGGCCCTCCCATCCCAAGGGACTCATAAACCCAGACCTGGTTCCTTTCCACTAAACACTCAATAACTTTATTTGCCTTTGGCTGGCTCCTCCGTGTGGGGCGGGGTAGGGGTTGGCAGCAGCCTGGGCTTCATGCGCCCTCTGGTGGACCTCAGAGGCAAGAACTGGAATCCCAGCCAAACCTGAGGACTTAACCGTCAATACAGTCTAGGAGGGTTGCAGCGCTCCTCAGGTCTGCACCCCAGACCCAACATCAGGGGACGGGGCACGTTGGGAGGAGGCCCTGAACCTCTGGCTCTCATACTCGCCCGTGTTGGACGCCCGCATGTTCTGCCGAGCCTTCATCTGCTTCACACGGTCCTTGTCCACTTTCCGCTTGGTGAGGATGAAGAGGAGGATACCACAAGGGAAGCCGATGGCCCTACGGGTAGGGAGATTTGCACGGGGTTTGGGGAGGGGCCAAGCCTGAGCCAGAGGAGCTGCGGGCAATCATTCTAGCTCCATCAATTGCATGAATCGTTCTAGCTTCATCAGTTGCACGTCCTCCGTGCTGGCTGCTGGAGGGATCCACGCAAATCAGATCCCGTCACTGCCCTGCTTAAAACCCCGAAACAGTGCTCCATCACTTCCTGACCAAGTCCAAACTCCTAGGCATGGCACAAAAGGCCCAGTGTGGCTGGGTCTCTGCCTGCTTCTTTCCTCCTCCCGCCTAGAGCCTGATACCCAGCAAGAACTCCGCATTCCTGCAACAGCACCTGTGCAGGATTTTCCAGGCAGCCCTGACGCTTTCCCTCTGAGTCCTGGTCAGGGTCCCCTCCAAGTTTGCCCCTCTTAGGCTAAGTAACCACTGCTTGGGAGGCATTTGGGTGTGGGGGAAAGAATATGGAGTCACAGACCGGGTGACGATCCTAGTTCAGTCTCACTTCCTTCCTCTGTGAAATGGGGATGTAATATTTACCTCAGAAAAACTAAAACATTACAGGTTAAAGTACTGGCACACCTCACATGCAAAAAAAATGTTAATTTCTTCCTCCTTTCCCTTTATTATTGGTCAATATGTATTAACGTCAGAGTCAGATCCCAATCACAATGTTCGTAACACCTTCTAAATACTATTATGCAAGTGGTACAATCTCATATGGTCTCAACAAACTAATTACTTAAACTTGGGTCTCACTCCAAGCTCCCAAAAGGGAGGATGAGGCCAGGGACCCAAGTCTAAATCAGATCAACTTGGCTTACTTCACAGTAAACCCAGTGTCTTCACAATTCCACATACGTTCCCACCTCCCCTGCCCCACCCCTCTGAGATTCCAATCGAACCCAACAATTCTGTTCCCACAACTTTGGATTCAGCTCGCTATCTGAAACTTTCCGAAGTTTCTGAGTCCTGCCCTCCCCTAGAAGCCACGCCCCGTTGGTGGGCTAAGGGGTGGTTAAAACTCACCAGGCCAGTCCCACAGCTTTCATGGGGTTCTTGCCCCTCCTTCTGGGAATGTATTCCAGCTCGGGGGATAGGGGTTCAGGTTCCTCCTTGCCCTCTGGGGAGCTGTGGCTTTGCAGTGCCCGGATCCTATTATGGGAAGCCTTGTTAGCTGTGGCTCCTGCGAGGATCCCTGTGGATGGAAGTAAGGAAGGTCAGTAAGAGGAGATGAGAAGAGAGCAAGCGGAGACGGGAGCAGTGAGGGCTGGGGAGGAGCCGTGGAGATCTGAGGAAGGGGAGTGACTGCAGTCTGAAGTAACAAGTGCCAGGGCGAATCCAAAGGGAAATGGGAAAATCGCCACCAAGGTGGCACCTTTGGAAGCCACTTCCACGTCACTGCGGGCTCATCACCCTGGTGCCAGGACGAAAAGCTTCGCTGTTCTTCCTCAGACGACAGGATGGTAAGGACTGCAGTGGGACTCACATGAGACGCATGAAAGAAATCCAGCAAAAGGTTTTGAAACTGCAAATGTTAGCACAGGAAGGGACCTTAAAGATAGTCTACTCCATGCCCTGCACTGTATGGAAGAGGAAACTGAAGACCTGAGAGACAAACTGCTTTGCCCAAGGTCAAACCGCTAATTATCCGCGGTTTAGAAGGCAAGCCTCCAGAAGCCCGGGGCTATTTCCTCTGCACTGCGGTGAGTGTGAAACACCTGGAGCGCGGGAGTCTAACAGGCTTCCTAGGAGCTCCCTCTCGCAGCAAGACCCTGGAGGTGTCGAGCGACCCGAAGGCGGGGCGGGGATGCAGAGGGTGACCTCTAAAGAGCATCTCTGCACCCCTAGACTCTAAGATATTGCAGAAAAGTGTGACAGGAACCCTGACCTCCTGCTATCGTCGGGCTGGATGTGAAAGAAAAGGGATCTTCTGAAGTCCTGCCCTCCCCGGGGTCCCTCTCCTTACCCCGGAGGACGCGGGCATTTCTCGCCCCCCGGCCCTTCAGCGCCGTAGCAGCCACCACCGCCGCCATGTTTAGATCCCACGCCCCCTTCACCGCGCTCCCCGCCGGGAATTGTAGTTTGCGTAACGGGCCTCCCCCGCTCCTTCCGTCCTGCCTACAGACTAGAAACTACAACTCCCAGAAGCCCGCAGAACGGACCCAGGAGACCTACTCTCCTCAGGAGACCCCGGAGGCGCGCACGCTCGCTTGTTTCTCTCCAGTTGGGGGCGGAGTCAGGTGGGGAGGAGTTTGGGTTCTCTCCGCCACGCCCCGACCCTGTCTTCCAATGCCGCTCTGTGATTGGTGGCACGGCTAGCCAACCATCGTAGCTATTGGCCGAACGACTGTCGCTCTTCCTGCCGGGGAGTCGCCTACGCCTACTTCCTCCCGAGAGGAGGGGCTCGAGTTCCGCGTCGTCGCGCAGAGCTGACTCTGGGAGGCGTTTGGGCCCAGAGAAGTGGATCGGCCGCTTGCGCCGCATGGAGTCCGAATCGGAAAGCGGGGCTGCTGCTGACACCCCCCCACTGGAGACCCTAAGCTTCCATGGTGATGAAGAGATTATCGAGGTGGTAGAACTTGATCCCGGTCCGCCAGACCCAGGTGAGAAGTGCCGGTCCTCAGGCCATGGGACAGGAGACGCTCACCCCTGGGCTCTGACCCCTGCTTCTCCCTGCTCCCCTCCACATCCCACCGGTCATTCCTGCCGATATCCCTCTTGCCCCCCTCCCCCACTCCCACCCCCACACTTAGTTCTCAGGCCTGGCTGGGGTGGGGGTTCCCTGACGCCTCCTCTAGCCCTTCCCCTCACACACCCCCTTCCCATCATTCCCTTGGCCCTCCCTACGCGCACGGTCGCTGGCCAGCCCTGGCTTCCCGTCCTGCGTCCCGCGCGCCCCCGAGACCCCCGTGTGTCTGACTCCACCTTCCCCTCTCGCCACATGACTCGCCCCAGCCTCAGGCCTCCTCACGCTTCTCTCCGTACCTCTTACCGTCTCCCGAGCCCCATCTTCTAACCCTCTCCCCAAAGCAGATGATCTGGCCCAGGAGATGGAAGATGTGGACTTTGAGGAAGAAGAGGAGGAAGAGGGCAACGAAGAGGGCTGGGTTGTGGAGCCCCAGGAAGGGGTGGTCGGCAGCATGGAGGGCTCCGACGATAGCGAGGTCACCTTTGCATTACACTCAGGTAGGTCTTTGAGGTGATCCACCTCAAATCAGTTTAGGTGGGCGTGTAAGCATTAAACATCCGCCATGGACAGAGCCTTATAGGGGACCCAGAGATGGGCAAGGTGCTGGCCTTGCTGGAGGAGCCCTCAGGTGAGGATGATTGCTTGTCTTCTGGCCTCAGTCGAGACACCTGGCTTCAAGTCCTTTCTCTACTTTGTCAGTTAACCTTGATTAACCTCTTAGTTCTCTTTTAAAAAGTTATCTTTGGCCTGGTGGGTGGCTCATGCCTGTAATCCCAGCACTTTAGGAGGCCGAGGCAGTTGGATCACTTGAGGTCAGGAGTTCGAGACCAGCCTGGCTAACATGGCGAGACCCCATCTCTACTAAAAATACAAAAATTAGCCAGGTATGGTAACGAATGCCTGTAATCCCAGCTACTTTGGAGGCTGAGGCAGGGGAATCGCTGAACCTTGGAGGCGGAGGCGGAGGTTGCAGTGAGCCGAGGTATCGCCACTGCACTCCAGCTTGGGTGACAGAGTGAGACTGTCTCAAAAAGAAAAAAAAGTTATCTTTGATAAAAGTTAATAAAAGTAGTGAGTATAAAATTAGAGATAATTGGTCGGGCGCGGTGGCTCAAGCCTGTAATCCCAGCACTTTGGGAGGCCGAGGCGGGTGGATCACGAGGTCCAGAGATCGAGACCGTCCTGGTCAACGTGGTGAAACCCCGTCTCTACTAAAAATACAAAAAATTAGCTGGGCATGGTGGCGCGTGCCTGTAATCCCAGCTACTCAGGAGGCTGAGGCAGGAGAATTGCCTGAACCCAGGAGGCGGAGGTTGCGGTGAGCCGAGATTGCGCCATTGCACTCCAGCCTGGGTAACAAGAGCGAAACTCTGTCTCAAAAAAACAAACAAACAAAAAAATTAGAGATAATTGGCTAGACATGGTGGCTCATGCCTGTAATCCTAGCACTTTAGGCGGGGGTGCGAAAGCAGGCGATCACAAGGTCAGGAGTTCGAGAATAGCCTGGCCAACATGGTGAAAACCCGACTCTACTAAAAACAAAAATTAGCTGAGTGTGGTGGCAGGCACCTATAATCCCAGCTACGTGGGAGGCTGAGACAGGAGAATCACTTGAACCTGGTAGGTGGAGGTTACAGTGAGCAGAGATCGAGTCGTTGCACTCCAGCATGGGTGACAGAGCGAAACTCTGTCTTAAAAAAAATAAAACAGGCCGGGCGCGGTGACTCAAGCCTGTAATCCCAGCAGTTTGGGAGGCTGAGGTGGGTGGATCACGAGGTCAAGAGATCGAGACCATCCTGGTCAACATGGTGAAACCCCGTCTCTACTAAAAAAAAAAAAAAAATACAAAAAACTAGCTGGGCGTGGTGGCGCGTGCCTGTAATCCCAGCTACTCAAGAGGCTGAGGCAGGAGAATTGCCTGAACCCAGGAGGCGGAGGTTGCGGTGAGCCGAGATGGCGCCATTGCACCCCAGCCTGGGTAACAAGAGTGAAACTCTGTCTCAAAAAAAAAAAAAAAAAAAAAAAAACCAGAAAAAACCAAATTAATTAAAATTAGAGCTAATTGTATCTTTTTGAGCATATTTTATATCATTTTCTCAAGTACTAGTTGTTAGTAAGAAACCCTTAACATGATGTTCTTCTCACTCTGTACCTAATCTGGTGGCATCCCATGCTGAGAACTGTAAGCCCTGCCCCTGTACCCACCTCCTGTCCATGATATGGCTGGTGAGCCGCACAGCGAGGGCACCTGCTCTGGAGAAGGACTTGCAGCTTGGCAAACGTGGGAAGGATCTAACAACCCAATTTTTAAAACTCAGAAGAACTTGGTTGTGCCTGTCTTTTTCCAGGAGGAAAGACATGTTGCTTTGGGTGAAAGAGGGTGGGGTTCCTGAAGGTTCTGAAGGGCGGAGCCCTAGGTGGGAGCTCTGTCACCTTACCAACATGGAATATGTCTTGGGACAGCATCTGTGTTTTGTGTGAGCCTGGACCCCAAGACCAACACCTTGGCCGTGACCGGGGGTGAAGATGACAAAGCGTTCGTGTGGAGGCTCAGCGATGGGGAGCTGCTGTTTGAGTGTGCAGGTGAGGGAGCCGAGCTAGAGGCCTGGCAGAGGTCACATTCCTTTGGGAGGTCTTAGGGGGTGGCCTGAAGTGGTTGTGCATCCAACAGCCACTTAGTGATGTCTCTTTTGTGCCAGCTCTGTGCTGGGCCCCAGGACTCGGGGAGAATACTAGTCTGTTTTGGGCACGGAGGCAGGAGGCACTAATTGGCCAAGGGAGTCCAGGAAAGGCCAGAGGAGGCCACACTGGTGTAGGAGCAGTTGGGCAGAGGGGAGGATGGGGATTGTGGGCAGAGGGGTAGAGTGGACAGAAAGGGGAAGGCGTGGGAGGCCTGGGCTCAGCCCGGTTGAATGAGGGCCGGCAGTGTTTTCTCCTGGCGTTCATGGGAGTGTTGGTTCCTGGAGTGGCGGCGAGTTCCATCACCTGTTCTGCTCAGCCCCGCCCCTCTTTTTTGCCTACCTGGTCCTTTCAGGGGGCCAGATACCAGATGCCACCAGCACCAGGTACCCTATCATTTTCCTCTCTTTCTGCCCACTTTTGTTTGAAGGCCATAAAGACTCTGTGACTTGTGCTGGTTTCAGCCATGACTCCACTCTAGTCGCCACAGGGGACATGAGTGGCCTCTTGAAAGTGTGGCAGGTGGACACTAAGGAGGAGGTCTGGTCCTTTGAAGCGGGAGACCTGGAGGTAAGATCATCAGAGTGGGAGTCAACTCTGGGGGTCCTTGGGTTGTGGGGGTGCAAGCTTGGGAGGCCAGCTCTGAGCCACCCAAGGCACAGGAAGAATGTCTGCCTGTTACCTGGAAAGTCCCTGCAGAACCCTAGAGGCAGGAAACCTTGGGTGGAGCTCATGGGGCAGGCTTCTAGGTGGGATGGGGTGATGGGCCTCCTTGCTGCCCTTCCTCCCTGTCCAGTGGATGGAGTGGCACCCTCGGGCACCTGTCCTACTTGCGGGCACTGCTGATGGCAACACCTGGATGTGGAAAGTCCCAAACGGTGACTGCAAGACCTTCCAGGGCCCCAACTGTCCAGCCACCTGTGGCCGAGTCCTCCCTGACGGTGAGAGCAGCTCCCTTGAGTGTCCTTTCCAGTGCAGAGACAATTCCAGGATATACACCTCTTGGAGCTGCCTTCTGGGCCATAGCCAGCAAACTCAGGCTTGCTCTTGGGAGCGCTGACCTCCCGGGCCCTAAAGCTCATAGCACCTCCTTCCTGCTCTGAACTCACCTGTGATTCCTGGGGTAATGTCTGGGCCCTTCCACTCTTCCTTCCTCTCCCTCTCCCCATTCCCTTGCTTAGTGTATCTGAGTGTGCCCTCTGCCCTCTCTTTATCTGTGCCTCTCTTCAGGGAAGAGAGCTGTGGTAGGCTACGAAGATGGCACCATCAGGATTTGGGACCTGAAGCAGGGAAGCCCCATCCACGTGCTGAAAGGTATCAGAGGTGGGGGAAGTTTTAACCTGGGCTTTTTTTTTTTTTTTTTTTTTGAGACCAAGTCTCACTCCGTGGCCAGGCTGGAGTGCTGCAGTGGTGCGATCTCGGCTCACTTCAACCTCTGCCTCCCGGGTTCAAGCAGTTCTCCTGCCTCAGCCTCCTGAGTAGCTGGGATTATAGGCGCATGCTACCACACCCAGCTAATTTTTGTATTTTTACTAGATACGGGGTTTCACCATGTTGGTCAGGATGGTCTCAATCTCTTGACCTTGTGATTTGCCCGCCTTGGCCTCCCAAAGTGCTGGGATTACAGGCATGAGCCACCGCGCCTGGCCAAGCTGGGCCTTTGTGGGGATGAACTGAGAACCTGGGGCAGGATGAAGAGGGAAGATAGGACGAAGCCTGACTTGCCTCCCTGCTCTATGCTAGGGACTGAGGGCCACCAGGGCCCACTGACCTGTGTTGCCACTAACCAGGATGGCAGCCTGATCCTAACTGGCTCTGTGGACTGCCAGGCCAAGCTGGTCAGTGCCACCACCGGCAAGGTGAGTGGACCTGGAGCCCAGCCAGGGCCCCCCGCTCTCCCGTCTTCTCTCCTTCCTGCCTGGGTCCTCACCGTCTCCTCTCCCCACCATCTTTCTCTCAGTCAAGCACCCGGATTCCGGGCTCTCTTCTGATCCTCTCTGGCTTTCAGGTGGTGGGTGTTTTTCGACCTGAAACTGTGGCCTCCCAGCCCAGCCTGGGAGAAGGGGAGGAGAGCGAGTCCAACTCGGTGGAGTCCTTGGGCTTCTGCAGCGTGTGAGTGAGGACGGGGAGAGGGGCTTGTGGGAGGGACCTGGACTGGGGGCCCTGGGGGAAGGCTGGGCATGTGAGTCCAGACTCTCATGAGTCTTCATGGTGTGATCCTCTGCTCAGGATGCCTCTGGCAGCTGTTGGCTACCTGGATGGGACCTTGGCCATCTATGACTTGGCTACGCAGACTCTTAGGCATCAGTGCCAGCACCAGGTATGGGCAGCTGCAGCTGGGGTCCCTGTGGGATGTGGCCATGATGGTGGGGAAGCCCAGGCCTCCGGGGGCATCTGCCCCAGCATGTGGCTCCTGCCTGGTCCTTGTGTGTGGCTGTCCCTCTTTGAGAATTGGGAGCAGATGGCTCTGAGCTCTCCCCCTGACCTCTGCCCTGCCTCTGTCATTCCTCGGGGCAGTCGGGCATCGTGCAGCTGCTGTGGGAGGCAGGCACCGCCGTGGTTTATACCTGCAGCCTGGATGGCATCGTGCGCCTCTGGGATGCCCGGACTGGCCGCCTGCTTACCGACTACCGGGGCCACACGGCCGAGATCCTGGACTTCGCTCTCAGCAAGTAAGCGAATTGGCCATGGGCTGGGATCTCTGTGTATTTGGAAGGTGGGAGTAGTACACAGGGGACATGGGATCCTTGGGTTGTGGGAGGGGATTCCTAAGGCAGGAATGCTGGGAAGCCTGAGGGTTCACAGCCCAGCCCCCACCCCAGTGGCTGCCAGTGACCCTCAGGGGCCCCACGTGTCAGTCATGAGGGAGAGGCTGAGACCAATTTTCCCCATTGGAGTCAGCTCTGCTCCCATGCTAATCGCCTCCGTGCTGGCTGCGGAGGTGTCGGCCCAGTGCTGGGCTCTAAGGCCCTAGAACTGAGGGTGTACTGGAGGAGCCCACTCCAGGGCCCTGGCTGGTGGGCTTGGGCTCCCTCGTCTCTGCAGTCACCTGCTTTCTGTTGACAGAGATGCCTCCCTGGTGGTGACCACATCAGGAGACCACAAAGCGAAAGTATTTTGTGTCCAGAGGCCTGATCGTTAATGGCTGCAGCCCCTGCCTGTGTGTCTGCTGTCGAGGGGACGAAGGGACCCCCGCCCCCGCCCCTGCCCCCGCCCGCCAGTAAAGGCAGTAGGGCACAGAGGGAAGAGGAGGGTGGGGCCCTGGATGACTTTCCAGCCTCTTCAACTGACTTGCTCCCCTCTCCTTTTCTTCTCTTTAGAGACCCTTGCCCCTTGCCCACACCTGGTGGGCCCTTCAGAGGGAGGGGCAAACCTCTTTTTCTTTCACTTTCATTTGCTGGTGTGAGCCATGGGGTGTGTATTTGTATGTGGGGAGTAGGTATTTGAGGTTCCCGTTCTTTCCCTTCCCAAGTCTCTGGGGGTGGAAAGGAGGAAGAGATACTAGTTAAAAATTTTAAAAATGTAAATAAAATATACTTCCCAGAGACAGTGTCTGTGTGGATTTTTGTGGTGGCTGAACCTTACTTAGGAGGAGCTAGCGAGGGCCCCTTCAGGGCAGCGCCACCCCACAGAATCTACTGGATGTCTCAAGATGTGCCAGCTCCCCGTGTCCAGGGGTGGTCTTTGTGCACGGACACTTCTTGCCTGCCTGGAGTCAGACTCTGCCTTGATCCACACGTCTGTCTGTAGGTTGTTTTTTTTTTTTTTTTTTTTTTTTTTGAGCTGAAGTCTTGCTCTGTCACCCAGGCTGGAGTACTGTAGAGTGATCTCGGCTCACTACGACGACCTCCGCCTCCCAGGTTCAAACAGTTCTCTGCCTCAGCCTCCTGAGTAGCTGGGATTACAGGTGCCCGCAACCACGCCCAGCTAATTTTTGTATTTTTAGTAGAGAGAGGATTTCACCATCTTGGCCAAGCTGGTCTTGAACTCCTGACCTTGTGATCCACCCACCTCAGCCTCCTAAAGTGCTTGGATTACAGGCGTGAGCCACCGCGCCTGGCCTGTTTGTAGGTTCTTTCTATTGCTGGCTTGAGCCATTTCCTCCTGCTTCGCCCTTTCTGAGATATGGAATGAGATAATCATAAACGGCCAGAGGAGTTTTATTCAGTCAGTGTGGGGTCAAACAGAGGCAGGGGCTCTGATCCAGAGACGCGGAGACAGGCTGGGTGGCCGGGATGGATGGATGTTCTAGTAGGAGTCAGCAGAGGCCCTTCCTTTAGTTCAAGTCCAGGTCGATGCTGCTGTGGCTGCTTGCGTGATAGGCAGTGCTAGGGCTGGGACTGCCCCGGGAGGCTCTTCTCCACAGGACCTGCAGGCATCTTTGGGCAGCTGCCCTCCAGGGGGCTGTGTAGCGTTGGTCGCCCAGCCCCATGGCCACAGGCACAGCCGCTGCACTGGCACTTCCCAGGGAGAGAAGGGACAACAGAGTTCCAGGCCCCAGCGGCGGGCGCTGCTCGTAGGCCAGGACTGAGAGGAGCAGCGTGGCCACATAGGGCCCCCAGCACAGCCCAAAGAGCAGCATGGCTCCAGCCTGTGCCCTTGCCTGCCTCCAGGTGAGGGCCCGGGCTAGGGCCGAGGGTGCATCGCGGCACACTGCCCGCTCCAGCCGCCGTATGTCCTGCAGCTGGCGGTGGGCAGTGGCCAGCACACAGACAGAGAGGAAGGCGGCAGCACCCACGGCGGGCAGCAGGAGCCCGTAGACTTCGAGGTAGAGGTAGGGGGCTGGGAAGATAGCCTGGGAGCTGCAGTTGGCACCAGGGGTCCAGTGGTTCCACCCCAGAGCGGGCAGACTGGCAAAGAGCAGGGGGCCCGCCCAGGTGAGGAGCAGGGCCAGCCATGTGCTCCCAGGAGGCTGGAGTGGCCTCAGGACTGCCATGTAGCGCTCCCTGTGCACCAGCAGGAGGTTGGCGAGCAGAGAGAGGAAGGAGAAGTTGGGAGCCAAGTAGAGAAGGAGGCAGGACCAGTAACCCCGGTGACTTTGGCTCCACAGCCCTGGCAACATGGGCAACGCCAGACCCGTGAGCAGCCCAGCCAGCAGCAGGCTGAGGAAGAAGCAGCCAGCAGGCGGGCTGCGCAGGCGGCGGTCCCAAGCGATGCCCAGGGCCAGGAGCAGGTTTGCGGTGACTATGAAGCTTGCCAGGGCGAGGGAGAGCCCCAGAACCCCCTTGGGAATGGAGCTGGGCACCTCTCCAGTGTTGTTGGGCATCATCTTGGTCCTGGGGACAGGAGAGCCTTGGAGCAGCAGCCGGCATGCCTAGAGGATGGGATGGCCAGAGTCAGGATGGGAATGCAGGTTATGGCTTCCTGGCAGGGCTGCATGTTAATCCAGGGGCGCAGACCCACAGGCTGTGGGCTCTATCATGTTCGCTGATAGTTTTCAATTAATAGCCAATTAAACATTTATATAAAAAATTATCTGGTTTCTATTGAAAAATCAGATCTGGCAGCACATATGTCCTATATAGCTGCAACTAGCAGAGCTCACTGGTAGCTGCCCCTCGGATAGTCCCCCCCAGCCAGCTTTATCCATTTCTTTCTTTCTTTCTTTTTTAATACGGGGTTTCACCATGATGGCCAGGCTGGTCTTGAACCCCTGACCTCAGGTGATCCACCCACCTCGGCCTCCCAAAGTGCTAGGATTACAGGCATGAGCCACCGCGCCTGGCCTCTTTTTTTTTTTTTTTTGAGACAGAGTTTTGCTCTTGTTGCCCAGGCTGGAGTGCAATGGCATGATCTCGGCTCACGGCAACCTCTGCCTCCTGGGTTTAAGCGATTCTTCTGCCTCAGCTTCCCCAGTAGATTGGATTACAGGCATGTGCCACCACACCCGGCTAATTTTGTATTTTTAGTAGAGATGGGGTTTCTCCATGTTAGTCAGGCTGATCTCGAACTCCCGATCTCACGTGATCCGCCCACCTCCCATAGTGCTGGGATTACAGGCGTGAGCCACCACGCCCGGCCAGCTTTATCCGTTTCTGTTATCTGCCTCTTCTGGTCAGCTGTGTTCAGGCCTCTGTTTAGACTGAAAGGCGGGCCTATCCAGCCCCAAGGCATTTTGTGTATCCCTGCCTCCACAGGGGAGGCCCCTAAATGAGCCAAAAGAAAGGCCCAGGCCGGCTGGTGTGTAGTGGTCTCCAGCCATCAGGTGACAGGCTCCATCGGGCCAGGTCTCGGGCACCCTGAGCCCTTCCCCCCATCTGTCCTTGTAGCCATCACAGCTCAGTAAGCAGCCTCCGGGTAGGACTTCCAGCCCATAAATTTGACTCGTCTGCTCCACACTAGCAACAGGGTTCTTCCTGGGAGCTGGAGGGAGAAGCAGCAGGAGGGGACTCGTGGCAGTGAACACGGAGATGCCAGCAGCAAGGAGAGGGACTCCCCATACCCCCAGGGCTGAGGCTGAGCCCAGAGGAGAGGGAAGAGGAGCCAGTGGGCAGAGCCTGGCTTCTCTGTGGCTCTCATCTGTCCCTAACCTTCCCGTCATTCCCTGGTCTCAGTCCTCCAGTGTCATGGCCCTGCTGCCACATCCTGGGGACAGGGGGAGGGGTCCTGGGTCCTGTGGGAACTCCTGCTTCTGTCAACAGGGGAGCAGGTGCTGTTGCTAGGATCCGAGTCAATAAGGAAAGGATTCACACCTCTCCCCTCCTCCAGGACGGAATCAGGGCCCCATGGCCACCCTGAGCTGAGAGAAAGGAAGATGCTCCCCTTCCTTCCCAGGCTCCCCCAGCACCCCGAACCTGGGTCTCCAAGGACTTGTGCCCCCTTTCCCCTCCCCTAAGCCTGTTTCCTCTTGCTTAATCTCCTCCAGTGCCCTCCACCCAGGATGTCTTTTCCTCTCTAGAGGCCTTCCAGTTTCTGTTCCCTACCCACCGGCGTCATCAACACTCTTAAGCCCCGAGAGACTCAGGGTTCATTACCCCAAACCTGGCATGAGCTAGAGCTCCTAGCCCTAATCAGAATGATTTCCCCACCCCATCTCCACCAGAACAATGAGAGAGGCAGGGAGCAGCCCCCAGGGGTGATTTCCCAGCAGGGTGCACACCCCTGAGGGTCTGGTGGCTTGGGCTGGGTGCAGTGGCCTCTCCAGAATCTGAGGTTTGGGGGTGGGGGGAGTAGCTACTCACATGGCTGTTGGGAGCAGGTATTGCCTGCCCAGCCTGGGCCTTCCTGAGTGTCAGGGAGTTGCTGCAGCCAGCCCTGCAGGGATTTGGACCATGTCTGGTGTTCTGGCTGAAAAGCACAAGTGGACCAAGTGCATGGTGCCTCCGGCCGGTGGGGACAGCAGGGCCAGGCTCTCCTACCCAGGCTCTGCCCCTATCTGGGTTCTCAGAGGGATGGAGAAGTGAGGCTGGCGGGGCTCAGCCTCAGCCCCGCCTCTGGGGGGGTGGGACCTGGCATACTCTAAACTGCAGCAACTGGGACGCCTGCTTCCCCCTCCCAACCCGTGCCCCCCTCCCCTGCCACCTAGGTGAGTTTCCCTACTCCAGCTTGGAGTAATCTGAGAAATGCATTCCAGTTAATGAATAATAATGATTTAGTTACCCCTCCCGACTTCCTGCCTCCGCTGATGCATTTACATTTAATCCCCTGGACTGGCCAGCCAGCTGACAGCACACCAGTCTCCCTCTGCACTTCCCACTTCCGTGTGAGTGTGATAGTGGCAGTGGCCGGGTGTTTGGGGCCTGAGGATCTTCACTCTCCCATCCCGCCGCCTGAGGAGCTTTTCGGTTTACAAGGCCACACTTGCCTTTCTGAATCTGGAGTCATTCCACACTTTTCTCAACTGCTTTCTGAGTCCAGTTCTGAACTATGAGGGACAAATGGCTCTGGGGATGTGACCCTGGGTAAGGTATATGCTGGGCCTCGGTTTTCGCCTGTGGTAAAAGGAGAACAAGAAAAACCACCACTAATTAAGGTTGTGGTGGGGAATATGATGGGATATTCCCCATGTGGCTGCCTATACCCCCGTGCCTGGCCCTTGATGGGTATGGGTTTGCCTCAACAAACCACTCCCTCTCCTCCCCCGAGATGAAGAGGCATGAGCTGGTGCTGGAATCAGAGCTGTCTGCATCCTTTTTTTTTTTTTTTTTTTTTGGATATGGAGTCTTGTGCCCTGTTGCCCAGGCTGGAGTGCAATGGCGTGATCTCAGCTCACTGCAACTGCCTCCTCCTCCGCCTCCTCCTCCTGGGTTTAAGCAATTCTCTTGCCTCAGCCTCCCAAGTAGCTGGGATTACAGGCACGTGCCACCACGCCAGCTAATTTTTTGTATCTTTAATAGAGATGGAGTTTCACTATGTTGGCCAGACTGACCTCGTGATCCGCCCGCCTTGGCCTCCCAAAGTGCTGGGATTACAGGCGTGAGTCACCACACCTGGCTGGATCCTTTTCTTAAAAGCTGGTGAACTTGGGCAAATGACTAAAGTTCTCTTGCCTTAGTTTCCTCATCTGTAAAATGGGGCCCATAGTTGTACTCACGTATCGTGAGACTAAGTGAGGTTCCGCGTGATGAGGATTCTGATCAGCACTCCATGACAGGCAGCGATCGCTAGGAACATTATTAGGATTTCTGCCTTTCTCTGCACCTGGCCCCTCTAAGACAGATCTCCTGAGAAGGGCATAGGGCTCCTGGGAAAAGCGAGAGGGGAGTGACACTTTTGCTGCACAGGGAAACCGAGGAAACCAGGTGCACAGAGGAAAAGGCAAGTTCAAGGCTGGGAAGCCAGGAGTGGTGGTGCCCAGATTTCTACCGTGTATCAAGTGTGGCTTTGGAGTGAGGGGGAGGAGAGAAGCCCAGCCACACTCCCTCAAGGCCTGAAGTGGGAGGGAACAGCAGGAAAGCTGGGGCTAGGGGTGAGACTTTAGGAAACAGTTTCAGGCTGAAAAGCGCAAGTAAATGGAACAAAGGAACTTCCGCACTCTCCAGGAGAGCTGGGCCTGAAGGGCTGGAGGCCTGCGGGGTGTGGCTGCCAGCTCTGCACAACCAGTTAGGGATCCCGGAGAGGAGGGACTTCTGTTGGTACAAAAAGTGGAAAGAGGAAAGCATCCAGCCTCAAATCCATCCTCAAGGGAGCCGGTGGGTGGGGAGGACGCCGAGTTCCAACGCTGGCCCTCAGACCCACGCGATCTGGTCAGGCAGAAGTCACAGGCTCTGGGAGAGTTCAGCCTGGGGTCTGGACAGAAGTGGGTGTGAGACCCCTTGGATATGGGACTGCCAGGAATAAACAGACCTCCTGTTCCCAGCCCTGGCCTGCTCCCGGAGGGATCCAGGATGTCTGTTTCTTCTCTGCTGCTCTGTCTAAACACTGCATGTGGGATGTGTATGAAGGGGACAGATTAGGTGGCAGCAGCCGGGGAGTCTGGGAAGTCTCTTGCTCAGCCTCACTTCTTCCTTACCAGACCATCTAGTTCCTGTTTGTTCCATCAAGCCCTGGGGTTGACTCACCCCCTGGCTTCTCCCTTCAGCCACGGAGGGCTCTGGTACAAGCCGTCTTCAGGCGCTCCGTCCAGCTGACTGCGCCCTGACCCTATTCTCCTTTCCTCAGGCAGAGCCTGAATGGCGGTGACCGATCCAAACTCTCCTACGGAATCCTCCTGTGCCTTTGTCCGCTTCCACTCTCTTAGGTATCTGAATTTCTCTGTTGACCCAAAGTGTCTGGGGCAGGGCGAGTATGATATTGGCTGGGGGTACTAGCTCTGGACCAGTGGAGGCGGCAGGGACGGGGCTTCCTGGAGCCCGGTTGGCCTCTCCAAGCCGCTGTTCAACACTTCACACTCATGCCTGTAATCCCAGCACTTGAAGAGGCTGAGTCCTGAGCAACGTGGTGAGACTCTGACTCTACAAAAAATAAAGATTAGCTGGGCACAGTGGTACATGTGTGGTCCCAGCTACTTGGGAGGCTGAGGTGGGAGGATCGCTGGAGTCCAGGAGGTTGAGGCTGCAGTGAGCCTTGATGGCGCCACTGCACTCCAGCCTGGATGACAGAGTGAGACGCTGCCTCAGAAACAATGATTTTTAAAAATCACAGAAATGCCGGGCGCGGTGGCTCACGCCTGTAATCCCAGCACTTTGGGAGGTCGAGGCGGGTGGATCATGAGGTCAAGAGATCGAGGCTATCCATCCTGGCCAACATGGTGAAACCCCGTCTCTACTAAAAATACAAAAAAATCAGCTGGGCATGGTGGCACGTGCCTGTAATCCCAGCTACTCAGGAGGCTGAGGCAGGAGAATTGCCTGAACCCAGGAGGCGGAGGTTGCGGTGAGCCGAAATCGCGCCATTGCACTCCAGCCTGGGTAACAAGAGTGAAACTCCGTTTCAAAAACAAAAACAAAAACAAAAAACCCACAGAAATGGCAGTGCTTTTAGCAACCCCCAGTAGAGGGCAGCACTGCTTGAATGCAAAATTGCCACCAGACTAGACCCAGGTTCCCGTTAAGTGCCATCAGGTACTACTATGAATGAGGGTAACTTGATGGCAACTAACTCCAAGTATCAGCTCCCCCCAAAGAAGGCTGAGGCAACAGCTAGGGCTATTTCCTTGATTTCAATTCCTCCTCCCTCCAAGTTCATCCTTCCACTTCCGATTAGTCTTTCCTGCCAAACTCCGTATTCTTAGCTTGCAGCTTGCCCCAGGTCCCACTTTTTCCAGACATGGAGATTCCTACCTGCCTGCCCCCGGCAGTAAGGGCCATTCAAGTGGGGAAAATACCAAAATACTAACTACCTTAGGGAAGGCCTGGAAAACCCCAAGCACCAAATGAGGCCTGGCTTGTCACTTCTGATCCCCTTGACTGTATAAAGGGAACCAAGATTTGCTAAGTGATATTATAAATAATTACAAGCATTATAATGCTTATGATATAACAGACATTTATTCTCTTTTCCTTTTACAAACCCTCAGGGAGGTGGTATTACGTCTAATTTAAAGGAGGCTACCGGGTCTCAGATGAAGAAATTTGCTGTCACACAGCTATTAGATGGCAGAACAGAGATTCAAACTGTTCCTCTATAGCCCATATCTAAGGACACCTACACCTCTCAGCTGTGAACCCTTGGGGCACTGGCTTCCTGATACTAGGAAGAAACAGACTAGATCCCCTTTTTCCAGCCCACATCCTCAGTGCGCTTGACCCTCATCCTGAGACTCTCCTCCTGAGGTCCTAAGGCCTTGACTAGTCACAGTGGGCTGCTTCAACTGTGAGGGTCTTTGACACTAGATACATACTAACACCAAGTGTGTCCTTGTTAAGAGAAGTCAATCTGGATAGGGGATTTTTCTTCTTTCTGAGACAGGGTCTCTCACTCTGTTGCCCAGGCGGGAGTGGAGTGGCATGAACACAGCTCACTGCAGCCTTGTCCTTCAGGGCTCAAGCAATCTTCCCACCTCAGCCTCTCGAGCAGCCGGGACCACAGGCGTGCACTACCATATCCAGCTAATTTAAAAACTTTTTGTAGACGCAGGGTCTCATCATGTTGTCCAAGCTGCACTATGGATTTATTTATTTTGAGACAGAGTTTTGCTTTGGTTGCCCAGGCTGGAGTGCAATGGCATGATCTCAGCTCATTGTAACCTCCACCTGGGTTCACACGATTCTGCTGCCTCAGCCTCCCGAGTAGCTGGGATTACAGGTGCCCACCACCATGTCCAGCTAATTTTTGCATTTTCAGTAGAGATGGGATTCACCACACTGGCCAGGTTGGTCTCAAACTCCTGACCTCAGGTGATTCACCCACCTTGGCCTCCCAGTGATGGGATTACAGGCGTGAGCCAACATGCCCAGCCAGATTTTTTTTTTTAATAGAGATGGAGTCTCAGTTACCCAGGCTGTTCTCAAACTCCTGGGCTCAAGCAATTCTCCTTCCTTGTCCTCTCAAAGTGCTGTGATTACAGGCGTGAGCCACTGTGCTCAGCCTGCATGATGGATTTTTAATATTGACAAAGTGTCTTGGAACTAGTTACTTCCTTAGGATTTACCGCTGTAGAAAATATTTATGCTGTTTTGTTTTTCTCCTAACTCTGTATCTTTAAGCAACCTTGGTTCTGCCATTTACAGTACTTATCAGAAATCAGATTCCTGCTACTAGCAAGAGAGTTCAGTGAGTCCCAACGTATTAGTTATGTTCCAAGCAAGAAAGCGAAAACTCAGCCAGACGTGGTGACAGGTGCCTGTTGTTCCAGCTGCTTGGGAGGTCAGGAGCTTGTGCACAGCCTGGACAACAGAGTGTGACCCTGTCACTAAAAACTAAAATTAAAAAAGAGCAAAAAACTGCTTCTAGTCAAAATTACACTTGAAAACCTTAAATAACTCATGGGTTGAGAATGCACATGCTGCTCTCAACATATCTAGTCTACGTTTCCATGTACCAGAAGTGAGTAGTCAGGGGCACCCTGAGCAGCCAGTTGGAAATCAGAATGCCTTGAGCTCTCTAGCAGCCCATTTTAGTGAAATAAAATGAAGTCTGATGACTGAATGACCTGTGGTTTTCGAAAGTCTTCACTGTGACTCAGTCAAAGGACATGTCTGCAATCCAGTCACGATGTGCACATGTAACTAAAACACATTTCCAAATCAACACTTAACCCTTAATAGATGTGATGCACTCTGATACTATTAAATTGCTTATAAATGCTGGTGTCACATAAAGCTACACAGGATAAAAATGCACAGATGTATGCCACATACACTAGAGAGTGCGGGTAAAACTGGCAAAATCAGAAGGTGGGTGGACTATACCAATGACTTTTCTTGGCTGCGATGCTATACTACAGTTACACAAGATGTTAGCACGGGAGGCATGGGGAGGGGGGAGGTGGGGAACCAGATGGAAGGTACACAGGGTCTCTGTACTGTTTCTTCTAACCATATTTAATTCTACACTTACCTCAAAATCAAAAGTTTAGAAAATAAAAATGCTGGATGTGATGTAGGTTACATCCCAATTAACGGGTGCCAAGTCAGCATGAAAAACACTGCCCTAGATGGAAGGCAGAAACCATTAGTGTAACCCTCAGACCACTGCACGTGACCCTACAATTCTCCTCATGATTCCTTCCACCAAGCAAACTTTCTGAAGCAACTTCACCTCAGGGACCAGAGTCGTGCTGGGGGACAGCACGCTCGACTAGGCTCTGTACTGTGTTTACTTGACAACTGCTCCCCCCGAGGGCAGTCTTTTTGGGCTGCATGTGAGGAGAAACTGGAGAATTAGTCTGTGTCAGATCCACATCTGAATACCCATCGATGTCCTGCAGGACCATACATTAAGAAACGCATTTTGCCGGGCGCGGTGGCTCAAGCCTGTAATCCCAGCACTTTGGGAGGCCAAGGCGGGTGGATCACGAGGTCAACAGATTGAGACCATCCTGGTCAACATGGTGAAACCCCGTCTCTACTAAAAATACAAAAAGTTAGCTGGGCATGGTGGTGCGTGCCTGTAATCCCAGCTACTCAGGAGGCTGAGGCAGGAGAATTGCCTGAACCCAGGAGGCAGAGGTTGCGGTGAGCGGAGATCGCGCCATTGCACTCCAGCCTGGGTAACAAGAGTGAAACTCCGTCTCAAAAAAAAAAAAAAAAAAAAAAGAAACGCATTTTGAGAAATTCCATACATTAGTCACAATAAAAGGATAAACCAGAAAACGCTTTAATTTGCCTGTCACTGTCCTGGGAGCTTCTTGGCTATTCCGGAGCAGCAAGTCTCAGGGACCAAGCTTTACAAGGAAGCATGTTTAAGTTTTTATTACTAGTCTGCTGGGTGCCGTGGCTCATGCCTGTAATACCAGCACTTTGGGAGGCTGAAGCAAGCAGGCTGCCTGAATCCAGGAGTTTGAGACTAGCCTGGGCAACATGGCAAAACCTCATCTCCACTAAAAATACAAAACGTTAGCCAGGCATGGTGGTATGCGCCTGTAATCCTAGCTACTTGGGAGCTGAGGTGGGAGGATCACCTGAGCCCAGGAGGTAATGATACCCTGTCTCTCAAAAAAAAAAAAAAAAAAAAAAAAAAAAGCCAGGCGCGGCGGCTCACACCTGTAATCCTAGCACTTTGGGAGGCTGAGGTGGATCACCTGAGGCCAGGAGTTCAAAACCAGCCTGGCCAACATAGTGAAACCCCATCTTAAAAAAAAAAAAAAAAA